ACCATGCCCAGAAATGAGCGTAGCCCGCAGACGTTCTGTGGAGAGGGGGCTAGCCTGATAGCATCCACGTTCTTTTCCATGGGATGCAGTCCGTTCGCGTCAATACGGTGACCTAGATATGTAACAGAGGGCACGCTAACGCGGCACTTATCAGCACGAAGCTTAATGCCATGTTCACGGAAGCGCTCGAGCACAGCCATCAGATTGCGGTTTTCGCTGTCACCCTCTTCCGCTATCAACACGTCATCTAGGTACGCTTGCACCCCAGGCAAGCCCTGTAGGATTGATTCAATCCGCTTTGAAATATCGCCGGTGCCGAAGCAATCCCAAACGGGAGGCGGTTGAAGCAAAAGAGGCCCTTGTGGGTGTTTATCACGGCCAATTTGCGAGACTCTTCGTCTAGCGGGATCTGGTTGTAGGCGTCGCGCAAATCCAAAATGCTGAACCGCTCCCCCCCGCCTAATTGCGCAAAAATATCCTCGATAAGGGGCAGCGGGTATTGTTCCAGCTCGCATACTAAGTTCAAAGTAACCTTGAAGTCACCGCAAGTGCGAACTGTGCCGTCTTTCTTTAAGACTGGAACAATGGGCGTAGCCCATTCCGAGTGCGTCACTGGTGATATAATGCCGGCTGCCACGTGTCGATCTAATGCCTCTGAAACTTTATCCAACAGAGCGTAGGGTACCTTTCTTGCCTTGAAGAACTTTGGCGTCACTCCAGGTTTGATGTGAAGGCGCATTGGTGGGCCTTTCATGAGTCCTACGCCCTCCGTGCACAGGTCGGAGTAGCGGTCCAACACAGCAGGCGCGGGCGGAGACTCCGGGCTCGCCCCGAGTGGTAGCGCAGCTACGTGGAGTACTGCTGTGCCCTGCTCTTGTAGTTTCTGCAGCAAATCACGACCGCACAGGAGAGGACCTTCGCAGTCCAAGACGATTAGGTTGCAATCAACCTCCGCCGATTTGTGGCATACACGCATTGACAGTACTCCGAGTACGGGTAGCTTCCCCAAATAGCACGGCAGCTTTATCTTCGGCTCCTGCAACTTCGGCCATTGATGACGGTGGGCTTTGTAGGTTGCTCTAGGAATGACGCATACAGGCGAGCCGGTATCCACGTCCATCTTCAGCTTTACGCCGTTCCACGTGAACGTTTCCTGAATCGGTGGCACCAATGAATTCTTCGATGTTACGGACCAAAGTTGCGACGCGCTGCTATCACTGTCGGTGGCTTGGGCTGTTACATTCAACGCGTTGTCGATCCTTTGGCACATGCGTGCCAAGTGCCCTTGCTTTCCACATTTGTAACAAAGTGGATTACCCATGATTACATAAGATACATTCAAGAATCAGCAATACACCAGGCGAAAGAGAACCAAGAAAAAGAATCTTGCATTTTTCACTTTGATTTCGCCGAAAATTGGACAGCCATTTTACCGAATGAGGTACAGTCGTATCACTGGCACAAAAGACAGGTGTCTATATTCACATGTGTCGTCACAAGGAAGCAATCAATTCAAAGTTTTGCCGTCATCAGTGATGACACATGCCATAATGCTGCACATGCCTGTTTTGCTCTACAAATAATCAACAACTATATGAAAAAACAACTTAAGCCTGATACGCATGTTACTTATGTTTCTGATGGCGCATGCAGTCACTTCAAAAACAAGTACCAGTTGTTCGAGTTATGTCAGAAAGATCATATATCAACAAAGTGGATTTTTTCGGCCACAGGACATGGCAAGAACTCTTGTGATGGCATTGGTGGCCTACTAAAGCATCAGGCTACGCTCTACAACCTCGGAGCGGCAAGCTCATCTGTGATTATGTGAGCATCCCAAATGGTGGCGCAAATGAGCGCGAAGCTCAAAAATGTCAAGCTGCTGTGCGCAAATGCAGACGAGCTAGAAACATTCCGTCAGTTTAAGAAGAGCCAGTGGAAATCGTTGCCACGCGTTCCAGGCATACGGTCTTGGCATGTTTGGCTAAGCACATCTGAGGGCACTGATCGTGGTCGTGTTTTGTTAGCTTCACGTACTGCTAAATGTAATCTCTGCAAAAGATGCAGCCATTTTGAGCGCATTTCTTGTTTCATGCAGTCACCACCGAAATATCAGTGAGGGTACTTCAAGCGCATATGCTTTTTCTAGCGAGACCCAACACTTGCGTTGAAACATTTTCATCTTTGAGTTTATCTGCAAATATAGACAGATGTTTTGCAACTGAGTTACAGTGTCGAAGATTTCCTCCATTAGAGCTGTGTTATCAGGAGCATAAATGCGCTTTCATGGGTACGTATTTGTAACAGTGCTAAAACAGCCTTTCTTCACCAAATACGGTCACGTTTACTCGCGTTTGAAGCTCATTGCCGCTTTTCCATTCCGATTTCTAGATTTCTCAACTTATCAGCACATTCTCGAAAAAGCTCTGATTTGTACCACGAATATTGGCGCTAAAAACAAAATAATGCAACATGTTTTTCTATGTTACTGTATGATGGCCTTCGGTTGTCTATTTACGAAATTTTAAGAAAAATCGAAGATGGGGTTTTTTTTATTATTCAAATTTCAGTGAAGTACACTTTTGCCAATATGAGAACTTTGAGGCAATATATAAAAATTTACATTTGCTTTACGGCAGCAATAATATATGTACCTAATAAACACACTATATCCTTAAAACGTGTCAAGTTTGAAAACGCTGCTTGCATTACTTTCGTAGAAAAAAAATGGCGAATACGTAACTTATTTTAAACTGTCGCAAAATTAGACATTTTTAAAAGCTATTTTCTTAAGGTCTACAAACTTGATACCGTATGAATTCATTCTTCATTAGACATGCATTTCAGGTAAAAAATATCTTCCTTGAAACAAAAATATTTGTCTTTTTATAGCATCTGCAATTTTCGAAAATGACAGGTGACGAAATTGGTGCCTCCGTGTTGGTGAAGTTTGATATTTTTTTCTCGTAAGTTATGCTGTTAATCATAAAACGAAGTTGACTTTCGGGCTACCTGGTGAGAGGTGCACGAAATGTAAAAAATACTCAATGAAATCTAAAATATCAACTTTTGGATTTGTGTCGATCTCTCGTAGAATCACCCCCATATAACTACAAAACAGCTAGTCGGGCTTGTCTGCCTTGCTGAATAACACGCACGGCCTGTGACAGCACGGGAGCATTTACATAGCACTGGATGAGAACGGCTGTACGTGTTCCCACTTAGCAAAACAGCCTGCAATGCAATAGGTTTGGCCTTCAAAGATTACAGGCTTCGTAAGAACACTCCGCAGATACACTGGGGTTTCATGCATGCGCGTCTGGACAATCATACATGAACTGTGCAAAAGCTTTCATTTCATTATCGACCTTGCCCTTCACGAAGCTCGGCAGCAAGGACAATTTCACCTTCGACAACACCACGCTTGGCATTGCAATCTAGAAAATGCAGTACGTCCAACAACAATAATCCATACTTCACACTGAGAAACTTCATGGCACACACACTCGGATGAAGCTGCGGTGCGGTGGACGGCGCCGCTAACTCCAACCTCCAGGATCAACTGGGAATCCAGCAATTCCTTGAGCAAGCGACGATACAGGGTCTAGGGTTCTCCTTGAGGGCAGCCTAGGCTCAGGCCACAAATTTGCTGGAGTTTTCAATAAGGTTGTTAGAACCACCACAAATCGCAGCTACCATCTCTGCCACTGTTAACTTATCGCAGCCGCAGCGCCCATGGCGCCCCCTGTGTTTAAAATTCTAGTGATATGTGCTCGAATAACAAATATAAACTAATTGACTCGTGAAACACCTGCTTAGTAATACTTTTGTAGGTTTAACGTATTATACAATAATTTTTAAAGTGACGTCACTTCTGTGCGGCCCAGGAGCCACTTCTATGTGGGACTGGCTGCTGTGCCACACGGCACAGGAGACGCTGCCTTCTAAGATTATCTAGATTGTTCCCAGTCATTCGGACGCGGTTTGCTCAAGGCAGCGTTACACGCGTAATGGTGTGGTAGTAAAAATAAAAAGAAGCGCGTGCGTCATTAGCATTACAACATTACAAATTCTTGCTATTGCAGTCATCGCTTCGCCGGTGAAACTGATTTTTTTTTTTTTTTCAGTTTATATGATTCGGCTAACAACTTTGCTGTCCAAACATATACAAAGTCGCATAATGAAGTATGCGAAGAAACACCACCTTAACAAGATTCATGCATGAACCGAAATACGACGTGACTAGTAAAACAGAACCAACAGACGTGACCGAACTAGATATGTATGTGGTTACGTCTTTAGTGTAGCACACGCGTGTTGATCGGTTGATGATAAAACTTGACTAAATTTGGCATTGCAGACGCAAATTGCTGTTAAGGCGCAGCTTGCCACACCAGGTCAAATTGGCGCAAAATTGCACAAATGACGTAGCACTTCCACCCCTGAAAGTAAATTCTCATTGTTGTAACCAATATATTGTTAAAACCAGTATTGTTATAAATGGGTTGCTCGGTATATTTTAAACCCCAGTTTAGGGTTAGGGTCTACGCACCTGAATTGGATTGGTTGCTGATGTCTTAACTGCAGGCGGCCAATGTGGCCTCCCCTTCAAGCTGAAATTAGCGCAACTGAGAAAATTCTGAGGCTTGTCGGACATTTTGATACAGCATGGCACAATTTCACAAAATATCACGGTTTTGGCGCAGTTGGGGGGGGGGGGGGGGGAACTGTGCCAAAGTGGTACAATGGGTCTCTAACAGCATCTCCAGTGGAGATCACTGAAACTGGAGGTCAGTGGCCTCCGAAGTTGTTCACTGCGCATCAGTAAACAATCTCGGAAGCCAACAATTTTTCATGGCAGTTTTCATTTCGGCATCGCTGCCCATGTGCAGATGAGTCTCCTGAAAAAGGCCCATTGGCACAGCTTTTCCGCCCTTGAATAAGTGGCTTTTGGATGCAGCAAATGTGCAAGATGATGAGCCTCCTCTGGGCAGACTCACGAGGATGTAGAAAGTGTAGAAGATGGGGCTACTGGTTGCCCGCAGCTTGAGCCGTGCCCGGTTGAAGCGCAGGGCCATGAACACCAGGAAGAGCACATTAGGCACCAGGATGCTGAGGTCCCACGTGCGAACCCTACACCAAGGCATGCTTAGATGAAATCCCCACTTTCTTGACACAGCTTCACAACCATTCACTCAGTAAAATCATCTTTAACACATTGCTGGTGCCTTTCAAATGATTAGAATTTAGGGCTAGTTGATCCTCCTAGTGATAATGTTAATCTTCAGATGACAGCAAATGGTATCAAATAAACTAGTAGTAAATTTGGTCACCTAGCCAGTAGGATCAAAAATAGAAAGATAGCAGCCATGTGGCTGTCTAGAGCTACATTTTGAATGATTCGAACAGTGGCTAGAAAAAAAAAATGAAATAAAGGTGCTTGTCAATATATTCCCACAAGTTCTCATCAAAATGCCTCTATACAATCTTCGAAAACAATAAGACATGCACGTTATTCTCTCCTGGCATATCTCATCTTCTCAACACTGTCTGTGATGCCAGACGTCTGTTCGAATGATGTCACGAAAAAATAGGCTCACAAATGGTTCATTCATGAGAGCTGCATCCTACTCTGCTATGTTATGTAGTCACATGTCCATTCTCATGTCACAGGTCCAGGAAAGAGCAGCATATCCCCTTCACCTACGTTCGTGTACACAAATTTTTCATGCTAGTTGTGTTACCAAGTGGCGAAAAAAGTGCAAGGTACTTTGCTCACTGAATGAACTGAACCGTCTTCGTCAGTATGCCTCAACTTAATTTACTTTTGCTGCATATGATCCCTGTGGTGAAAGTAATGTGATGATGGGCGGCTTGACGTGCCACACTACAGGACCAATTTCAAAAGGTATTTTCTCTTCAAGAAATGAATAGAACTATGAAGTTTCATACAATAACACCGAGAAAGGAATTTGGCGCTAGTGTCGGTGCGAGCTCCTTCAATGGGGCTTGTACTCCCATGGGAATTATGGGAAGTACAGGCTTCGGATCTGCTTTGGATGGATCACGTTCTTGAGATTCGCGACGTTTGCAGAGTGTAAAACAAATTGGTTCAAGTTATATCTAATTGAAACTTGCTTCACTCTTTTGTACGTAAATCTTATTGCAGAAAGTTTTCGTTACTATGAGGTAGAAGCTAAACCCACAAAAATTTAATCACCAGTGTATGCATCGCTCTTCCACTGTCTTCCAGATTTGGCCCCAAGATATTTCCACATTCCCTCCTCAAGTTTTGTTATCACCCCGTCTTACTGTCAGTGATTCTCGGCGCAAATCACGCCTGCAGTATTCGAGAAGCTTCAGGACTGCCGTAGATCATTTTGTTGAGCCCACTTCACAAACATTACACATTATTCTGAAACCTATATTGCCGTTAACGATACCGCTAGGATATTTGATGGCATGTGTATAAATTCAGACGCACCTCACCACTTGTCAGTTGATCAACAGCTAACGCTCTGTATACCGCTATCGGTATCCGTGTATTGCTGTAATCTAACCTTTAGTTTCATGGACACAAGTTTGGCTGAATAAACAGTGTCATCTGAGCATCAAGTCTGCTACCTTTTTCAACGTCACGACCCCGTGACATCTGGGGGAGGTGCTTCTCGTCAATATACCGAACACCCCCCTCCAGTCGAGATCCAAGCCCCAAACGTGAAACAAACATTCCCACTAACCTCGACCTGCAAACAAGCCGCCGGCAACAAGGGCTACCTCTAGAGTACGGGCTCTGCACGATAACGCTCGCAAGCCCAAGGCCACCACCATGACTGCGACAACTATGGTAGCCCCTGTACCAAAGCCCACCACGGTCGTTATGCAGGAGCCAAGGGAGCCACCGACCTTCCACAAATCATCATTTGCAGATCTGGAAACTGTGGGGGAGCACGTGCACCCAGCCTCCCTTTCCCTTTTACGGCAGCACGACAGCCTAGTTGCAGGAACACGACTGTCGCTTCGAGAGTCAATAAAGCCTCTTGAAAAGGGATGGAACAAAACTTGCGAAAGGATGAACAAAATTAGTGTGCGGACGGCCGCACGGTCTCTCTGACAACGGCCTAGAAAAAAGGAGGTCGAACCCACAACCCCCTGCGAGCCTAGGACGACAACGACCAAAGAGTAAGCGTCTACCATTGTTTTCTGTAGTATCTCCTCGCGACATTTACACAGTTATTGATAACGTATCGCAATAAAGTGTGTTGTTGACCTAGCCTGTTGCCTTATTCACCCGAACCCGTGTAGCTGCAATGAGACAAGGTACAGATAGGGAACATTAATCGTGCACATTATTCGTGCAATATTTTCAGGTTGAGATGGACGAGCAGGGATAAAGAGAAATTGGCTTTCACATGCCACAGAGGACTTTTCCAATTCAGGAGAATGCCTTTTGGCGTGGTGGAAGCTCCCGCTACGTATCAGAGGCCAATGGACCGTGTTTTGAGAGACGCAATGTGGCAGCACACACACGCATATCTAGACGACATAGGGGTTTACTCGAAAACGTTCGAAGAGCACTTGCGCCACTTGAGAGACGTTCTAGAAAGGCTGAGGTTTGAGGGCATCACTCTGAACCCAAACAAAGCTCATATAGCGGTGACCCGAATAGCATTATTGGGATTTAGGCTTGACGAGGGTCGCATTTTGCCGGATAAGGGTAAGCTTGAAGTGATAGTCAGCTATCCATCGTTCAATAATATCAGTGAGCTGAGGCACTTTCTGGAGATGGTGAACATTTATTGCCAATTCATTCCACACTGCACGGCAGTGCAGGCGCCTTTGACGAAGCTCTTGAGGAATGGCGAGCTTTGGGCTTGGAGTCAAGAGCAGGAGGCCGCACTGCGTCGCTTCACGAAGTTGCTGACCAACACAGCTCAGCTGCAGCTACCCGATTTGAACAAGGATTTTGTGATTCAACAGACACAAGCGCCTTGGGCTTGGGAGCAATGTTGCTTCAGGAGCATGGAGGTTCCCTCCAACCGATTGCTGACCACATGGGGCTCGCGTGGTTAAGGCGCTTAAACGAACAAAGTGGCAGCCTGGTGCATTGGGCATTGCTGCTGCAGTGTTACTTCACCGTTCGCTGTCGCAAGAGTAAGAACAATGCTACGGCTGACGCACTATCGCGTGCTCCAGTCTGACACGAGGCAAGTCACGCGACTGATTTGGAACGAACTGAGAGCAAGACACTCGCACTAACGCAAACAGCGGAGCAAACGTTAGTTTGAGGCAAAAGCGTGAACAACGTAGAGGCTGTCATTAATACAGGGATCGCTTTCAGCAGAAGGAAACTGTTAGAAGCTCAGCAGAAAGAGAAAGATACATTTTATCGAAAGGTGTTATATGGGCTCCAAAAGCCGGGGGGGAGGGGGTAGTGAGGCCATCGCGCACGTGGGGGCAGCTGGTATTGCTGTCGGTGCGGAGCCCTCGGCAACAGCTGGTAGTGCTGTGAGCGCGCTGGATTCATATGCGCTGGATTCTGAGGGCGTCCTGCTGAGGTACATCCCATTTTGCGATGACGCAAGTGAGTCATTCAAAGTCGTGATACTGCGTACACTGAGGGGAGCACCTCTTCGCTACTTTCATGACTCGTGCATTGCCGGGCATGCGAGCGGCCCTGAGACTTAAGCTAAGTTGTGTCGCCTCGCTACTTGGCCAGGCATGAAGCGGGATGTAATTTGCTACGCCCGTCCATGTCATGTTTGCCAAAGCGTCAAGCCACAAGGCGGACGTTCGCCCGGCCTCATGACACCGATTAACAGTCAGACTCTTTGGCAAATCGCGGCGTGTGACGTAATGCACCCGTACCTCACAACTCCTAGCCGAAACAAGTTCTTGCTGGTGATCACGGATCACTTCAGTAAATGGGTGGAACTTTTCACCCTTAGGAAGTTGATGGAGGTTTTGCTGACAGGCCTTAGGAAGTTGATGGAGGAAAATGCTGACATTTTCACGGAAGAGATGACAAGGCTGTTCTGGCACACAGGCCCTGCCATGGTTGAGGAGAAGAAACTCCGGTCCCTTATGCGAGTTGTAAAGCAAGAGTTGTTCGCGGGTCTTGTTCACGACCCCCTCAAGATTGTTGACGAATTCCTCACCGAGACTAGGATAATCGCGAAGACACTTGAGATGCGCACAAAGTAGTATGACCGTCGCTCTTCAACAGACAACTACGTCGAAACTCATGCCCTCAGCCTGGACGACTTGTGCGAGACCATTCGAGCTATCGTGTGAGAGGGGCTGCGCAAGCTGTTACTTTGGTCACAGCCTCAAGAGGATTCGATCGCCGAAATTGTCCGCGAGGAAGTTCGGCAACGACTTGGAATATTCGAGGAACTGACACAGCCCAAGCCGCAAGCCATGAGCTACGCTGCTGCAGCCCAACCCTATGCTCCTCCTCCACTGCCCCTTGCAAGAGGCCGCACCATCACAGTTCCGCCACCAGGACACTACTACCACCGACGACATACCATACACCCACCGACCAACGCAATACTCCGAGGAAAACCGATGTGTGGTGTGCTTGCGACCACCGACCTCCCTGCTACTACTGTCGAGAATAGGGCCACACCTGTTGCCACTGTTGATACCGACAAATAGATCTACAGAGTTTCGACGTCAACGCACCGTGCCCACAGAGGGGTGATCGCCCGCACGAAATCGTAGACTACCTTGCAGGAACGCAATCGACACACCACAGACCTTACTGGTCGCCGTTGGGGGCCGCTACACGTCACAGCATCGCAGGCAGTATGCCAGCACTGCTCGAGGCCAATCTCCGAATCCTTACTCGGTAAACTAAGGGCAGCAACCGATAGTAGTGTGGTAGCTGTACGACGAATTACTGAAGATCTTCTGCCACCACTGACAACGATGAAGCAACAAAATCGAAAGCACCCGCCGGAAGACGAAAGGGGCCTTAACATCCAAAGCCCACAGTCCGAAGAAAACCTCACAACGCAACGAGGAAGCAGTGAATAAACTGACGTAGCCATGATTTGACGCCACGACCCAACCGCAACGCAAGAGAATCAGCGAAATCAACGTAACATTCGACGGCCACCACGTCCCTG